GTCGTTTTCTTCTTTAGTTCTTTACTTGTATTTGGTGGTAAAGAGATAGGGAGTTGTTAGTCGGCAACTCAAAAACTTGCTTTCAATTTTTCTTTTTCTTTTTGTTTTCTAATATAAGAAAAAAAAATGCTTTGCTGGCTTTCATATCCCCCTGACAGACGCTTAACGTGAAATCAGCTGCTTATGACTCATCAAGTCATCAAATTACAGCTTGCTTTTTTACAGTCTTTTCCTAGCAATTTATACACAAAGGAAAATTAGGAAAAGGTATAATATTCAATATTATTAAAAGCCTCCCCAAACTTAGCTCGGACACCCAAGTTTAGGATAATTAAGATCAGGCATAATTGGACGAGGGAACTAATAATCTGAACTAAATTTATAGGCATTTTTTGGTATTCTTCTTGAACCTAAAACAACTGAGAAATATCGATATAAAAGTCCGTGATTGCAATGTGACATCCACACAAGCCTCTGATCAATGAGTCGACCTCACCCATTTAGAAGGACACAACCTTGGCCAGGCTTCCAGAGTTCTATCCCTCTACCACAAATATCCTAGCTGATACATTGGTCGAGGTATACCTCCATTATATTCCTCAACTAAGCAAAATCGAAAGTAAATCTTACGCTTAAATCTTACTATCACCTATTATCGACGATAAATTCACATAATTAATTTATATAATAAGAATTTAACATGCACGTAAGAGTTGCGTATTGAAAACATAACTAAATATAGTAAAATACACATTGTCTAACAATTTAATCTTTATAAGATAAGATGACCACACAGTTTAACTTGGTTGGATTGTCTTGCTTTGGAATATATTATAAGTCGTTTAATAGCTGGAACAAATACGTGTTCAAAAATGCAATTTACTCAGCAGTTGTTATTTAATGGAGTAATATAAAAAAAGAAAAAGGAAAGTGAAGAATCTCATTATCATAAAGGGCCTGCATCCAGCGATTACTGAATGTGAACATTTGGCATTCTTTAAATTCTTTTCTTTCCAATGAAGCATAACTAGAGAGGAAAAAATATATTTAAAAAAAGGAAAAGAATATATTTATTTATTGATGTAAGGAATGATATAAAAGGGTAGTCGCCGATATTTATGGACAGTGACCCATTAATTCATCAGTGCATATAGCTGTGAATGTCTTTGTAATGGAAGTCAAATGTTTCATCATCATTTCCTTTTTATAGCCAAAGAATTGAAGTATTTCTTTTTTATTCTTCCTCTCTCTCTCTTGCATTATTTATTTATTTATTTAAGAGGAGTTCTTATCTTAGTTTCCATCTATAATTTTCAGCTTTATTTTTAGCTGAGTCTGAAAGTTAAAAGAAGAAGAAACAAGGGAGACGAGGAGCCTTTCGTTTTTGTGGTACGTTCCAATATCTGATATTGCTTTCATTTTGTTTTTTCTTCTTGGCTTATTTGCCTGACTAATAATCTAAATAATACAATAGGAAAAAAATCAAACCTAGATTTAAGGAGTTTTCATAATCACGATATTATATGTTTATATTTGGTTTTATTCCACACAATGCCATTAGTATTTTTTCAATTAACTAGAGGAATATATATACTAGGAAATTGGTGGAAGAAAAATTGTTGTGGGTAATTTATAGCCTCACAGAATAAGAGGCGAAGCCAAGTTTTAACTTTATGGGTTCTGAATTTCAATGACGCCTTCAAATACTAATAACTGGATTTTAATTATATTTAATAATTTTTTCAACTAAAATACACTATTCAGCGAACCCGTATCCGTACTTCTAGCTCCGCTTCTGCACACATTAGTTTGAATAATTATATATACAATCACCATATTATTTGAAATTTCGTATAGGTTTCATGATTCCCTTTTTCAAATGTGTTTTTCTATTAAATTTAAGTTTTTTTCTGTTGTATTCTGAAGTGAGATACTTGATAGATACACTTCTAGTGGCAAGATCATGTTCCCAAAATAAAACTTTATTCTACAATAATTCATCTTAATTAGTGTTATCACATGCAACAGAGAAGAGAACCCATAATAATGAAAGAGACCAAAACTGAACCATTATGGTACATGGTTCAATTTTAGGATTGATACTTTTATTTTATAACTTAAATTAATTTTTTAATATAATATTTATGCGATTTAAAAAAATTACTCGTTAAAACAGGATGCACGTGCAATCTGCATATCTTGAGACTAGTATTAATATCATAAAATAAAAGGTCTTAGAATAATCAATAACATATCCGGGTTTGTTTTTGGAAAAAAATAATTTCGGATTCAGTTTTTGAGTTTTTGAAAAAAAAAAGTGCTCATTTGAAAAGTTTTTCCAATCAAAAAAAGATGTGCATATTCTTTTGGAAGATTTAAAAACTGAACTTAAATCTTTTTTAAAAAAAATATTATGTTTCTTGCATAAACATCTCAAAGCAACACTTTCCACTAAACAGAGTTAGCAAAAGGAGTTTATGCAAAAACTCAGACAAATGCCACCTAATTATGACACTAAATAAACAATACATACTTTTAAAGAAACAAAACAATTAGATACGCCCTTTTTAAGTTGTCATTTTCAGTTAAACCAGACAATATCAAAATATAAAAATATACTTCTCCTAAACACGTAGTTAAACCCCAGAAGAGAAAATTAATATTTAATGACTCATATAAAGTCATAGTCATGTGGGGGCATTTGTTGGGAGACACAGGCACACAGCAATGTCCTTTATATCTGGTATGGTGCATGTAACCCATCTGTCCTTATAAAGAAAGTTATGTACTCTCAATATTTTTTTTTAAAGATTTAATTTAAGAGTCGTTTGGCTATAGTATTAGAGCAATTAATCTAGTATAATATTTTGTATAAGATTTCGATTGATATCATAAGTTACGTGTGAATAATAAAAATACGTGTATTAGTAATAATTCTAATAAAGATAATTTTTTTATAGTAAATAATTCATGTATAATAATCCTTTATTGTTAATCACTCGATTAGACTCAGGGGCAACGTCAGAAAATTTAATAAGAGTGTTTAAATCTAAAATTAATCAATAACAAGTACTAATATTTTTTCCTATATATAGTAATATAATTTTTCGACGAATGGTGTTCTGTTGCCATCCTTGGCCATACATAGCTTCGCTCCTCATTTAGACTGTCTACATCACACCCCTTACAGTGTTAACCTCGCGTGAATACGGGATGCTTTCTGCACTATACTGCCTTTTTTTGTTAATCAATCAATTAATCGGCTATTATTTTAAAAGCGGCTATACCAACTTATTTTTACTACTATAATCTCAACATAATTAGTAAGTGACACTAACAATCCTTAAAAACTTGTCGCAGTTTTATTATATACTATATATTCATTATTATTTTAATAATGTTATGCAAGAGTAGTAGGTTCCACCAAATCCCACGTATCCTCCAACGTGCCTCCCTTTTAGAGCTTCCTCAAGATACAACAAAAGTAAAAACCGCGTTGTTTTTTTCCTAAAAAGAGATAAATAAATATTTTACTCCAAATACCATATTCAAGAAACAAAAAAGTAATATTAAATTTAAAAAATAAAAACAAACGCGTTTTTGAGAAAATGAAAAAGCTAAAGGCTAGCGTGGTCCAGCCAGATTGGCCTGCTTCATAAGAAAGGAACAATAAATGTGCTTTTCCTATAAGTAAATTAATTTCCTCGCGTTCTTCTTTTAAGACCCAACTATAAGACCCGTTTATTCATAATTTTTTCTTTCTTTTTGTTCTGAAATTTTTTCTTTAACTAAATGTTTGAAGATGCATTTTAAAAAATTTTAAAGATGAGTTTTAAATTTTAAAAGTGATTTTTGTTTTTTTCAAAGAAATAATTTTGTTCTAACAAAACTATAATATTTTTTCAAGTAAAATATATATCTAAACACAATTTTAATTTTAAATATTTTTTTCAATTTAATTTCAAAAATTCTTTTTTAAATCTCACATTCTTTATGTCCAAACACCTACATGGATCCATGATCCCCCTACTGAAAAAACTACAGTAGTACTTTTTAGTGGGCGTTTGGACATAAGAATTGTAAAATTCAAAATAGGGGTAATTTTTTCAAGTGACAATGATATTTGAAATTTAGAGTTGTATTTGGACATTAATATAATTTTGGGTTGTTTTTGAAGTTTTGTGAGTGATTTGAGTGAATTTTGTTTTTCTGAATTTTCAAAATGCATATTCAAGTAAAAATTGAAAATTTCATGAACAAACGTTAATTTCAGAAAAAAATAAAAATATTTAAAGAAAAAGAGAAAAATTTCTTATGTCCAAACTGGCTCTTAATGTTTACTTATTCCTCACGCAACAGACTTACCATCTATGAACTGAGTTACTTACTTAGTTAGTACGTAGGTCAGGTAAAAAATAAAATCATACGTTGTTAATTACGCTTTACAACCACTGTCAAAATCAAAAGAATAATGGCAGTGTCAATATTGGGCAACACATGATATGAAAATATAATACTCGCACTTCATATTTAAAATAATACTTTCGCACCATCACTTATAGTAGTTTATAAGTTTAACTTTTATATAATGATAACGTAAAAAAAGATTTAATATTATTAGGTTAATTATGTTATATTGTGCTTTTTCGGTACGTGTACTTTACAGTTCAAAAATAAAAATTACAACTAGGACATTAGTGTAATTAATAATACTATTTAAGGAAAGATATGTCGGGTAGTCATGCTCAATTAATTCACATTCGTTCAGATAAGTTTTACTTTAGCATTTTTTTCGCTAAAGTTTGACTGAAGACTTTTAACTGAGGATGAAGAGATACTTTAAAAAAATTCGAAAAAGGAAATTCATTAATTTGTTAAGAAAAAATACTCCTACTTTATACGTTGTACCATGTGCAGCAACGCTTGTACAAACTAAGTTTCATTTTTATTATAAGAGAGAAGTTTAAAAATTAAAAATCTTCTTTTTCTTTGAAAACACTCCTAAAAAGGGGACGAAGCTTCCTAACACTTTCTACGAAAACACAAAAGCAATTTACTTTCCATTGCTCTCTCTGCACTTCAGTTGTCACATTGCGTCGGTTACTCCAACAATCGGTAATTCTCTCTCACTACATTCTCTTCTATGAAATTCAAAATACAGTAAAATAATTCACAAATACATAATTTAGCGTCAGTAAAATTGAAGACAGTATGTATGTTTTTTTAGATTTTTTTTATGGTTAATGGCACATAGTTCGAGATGAAAATAGTGATTTTCGTTAAATATATGTTTTAAAGTATTTGATCTGCTTAGTTAAAGAATTTTTTTACTTATATATTTATGTTTTTCTTGGTATTTTAAATATTTATGTGGTTTGGTCGGTGTTTGGCGATAAACCCTAGTAAATTATATGATTTTTTTTGTGTGTTTATTTATATGAGATTTGAAAATATACAGTGAGAAAAAAAAATTGTTGTGTCAAATCTGGTGTCATCTCTCCTGCGACAGTCACAGAAGATGAGTGGTGAAGAAAATGTGAAAACGTCGCCGTATAGGCGGCATCAGAATAGTAATGAGGATTTGGAAGCTGGAATTAATGGCAGCAGTAGCAGGTCTATGGATTGTGGTGGAAGTCCTTTTGATATTCCAAGGACTAAGAGTGCTCCTATTGACCGCTTGAGACGCTGGAGGGTTAGTACTTCCTTTTTGAATGGATTTTTATTCTAATATTGTTCAATTTTTCGATTTGTACTTGCATAATATTGACATGATATCAGTTTAAATGGAGTAACCTCCTAGTTATTTTTCTATTGTGATTTTTGGGGTGAAACCTTATTTGGACATTTCTTCATTGTTTGTTAATTTTATTTTATGGATTTTTTGGGTGCATTTTGTTGGGGTGTATTTATAGGCGATACATATTAGTTAAGACCCTTGTGGAAAAGGGTTCAAGCCGCCGAAACAATTTCTGTAAGAAACAGTCTCTTACAGAAATGCAAGGTAAGACTGCCCGCACATAGTGGTAGTTTAGTGCACCGGAGAAGAACGAGAAGATGACATATTAGTTGAGAATATGTTTTAGACATTAACACTTTTTACGGTAGGTCCTATGCTTTAATAGGAGTGATTTAGCCTTTTTGAGATTTACACATTGAGAAAACTTGCATAACTTTGAACACTTTTTATTTGTATTTGCATATTTGTTGGCATGAGATGAGTTTAAGTGGACTAACATGGTTAGTTAGGATTCATATAGCCGAGTCCAACTTGTTTGGGACTGAAGAGTAGTAGTTTTTGTTTTTTTATGTGATTTTTTGTGTGGAGTGAAGTCTTATTTAGGTGTTTCTTCTTTGCTTTTCTTGAGTTTAAGTTATATGCACTGTCAATGTAAAGATTTTCTTACATTATCTGTGTATTTTGACATATTATAGAAGATTGCTTTGCATTTTTAAAGGTACAAATTAATGTTTGTATAGAGAACCTGCAATTGCGTTTTTAGGTGACCTGGTGATCTAAATCTTTTTTACATGTCAGGGCATACAGTGGGATTTTTTTGAGGTGCATTATGTTGGGGTATTTTTACTTTTGTTGGTGTTATGTCTTGTCATGTGTAGGGTGAAAATTTCAACTGGGTGTTTTTCGATTCGTTTTCTTCTTTCAGTTTTGTGCTTTTTGTGCTTGTGATGTGTGTGCCTGGTGGGTGGCTAGGGTGTTGGGTTCAAGGATCCATGTTTTGGCTTATTTTTTGTTTACTGTGTTTGTAAGACCATTTGCCTATTTGGTTATTTTATCTTTTTTTTTTTTTGGTTTCAACTTGGCCAATTTTGATTTTACATATTGAGATTGCTAAATAATGTGGTAACAGTCTTCAGTGATTTTCTGGTAAGTCAACATCCAATTTTTGTGGGTTTTGATTATTAGTTTTTGTTTAGTGTTTCACCTATCATTTTTTATGGTGGTAGTGTTTATTTTATTAGGAGAATTGCGTATTGGTCTTCTATGGGTTGAGCAGTTGAGGGAGTGGTGGCGTTTCTAGGTGCTCCAATGATCCATGGAGTATATTTTGCATAAGGTGGCAACCATTTTTTGTTTTCTGATAGGTCAAGACTTCTGGGGAAATGGATTATAGTTTTTCATTTAGGGTTATTTGTCAGTGAATTTGGTGTTGGCTTTGTGAAAGGACAGCTTTCTCCAACTTCCATCCTTTCAATATGCGAGTTTTTTATTTTAATTTTTAAAATGGATGACTTGAATCACCTGTTTGACAATGCTTAAAGAATTGAATGGAGAGAAAAGTTTGAGATACGATGGAACTTAGGTATCACTGCTAGAGACATTGATTTTCTGCTTTTAAAGCGTTTCATTTATTCTAGTTTATCCTCTTTTTATTAGCTTGTTTGGAGTTCTCTTGTGGCCCATGTCGGTGATGAGACTGAAAGGATATTCTTTATTGCCTTCAATCTTCATGTTTATATTTGAAAATTTTCTAATATTAACATTTGTTATCAGTATATCATGAGCGACTTGGTTTACATTTGACATAATGCACTGAGAAATTGGTCTCTGATTCTCTATGAGTTTCCTGATAAACATATAAAAGGAAGTGGAGCCATTGATTGTTTATGCCAGAAGGAAAAATTCGTTGTTGCAACCGTTGCCAAAACCCAAATGGTTACAGCGTGGTCCGTCTGATGGTCTATAGTGAATCCAAATTTTTTAATTACCAAGGGGATATATGTGGTGTGTCAAAGATTTTCTCTTACCCAATGCAATGTGGCTATCAACGCCCACGTTCCTTTACGATAGCATTATGTTTTTTAAAATTACTTTAAGGGTAATTTTTTTTTAAAGTTGTGGTATGTATGGACACTACTACAGTGGTGAGACTGTACTTGAAGCCAATCCCAGGATGGCCGTTATGCCTTCAAGAAGACAATAAATCTTATTTTCCAAAATGGCAGAGGGCAGTTCGTTTGCTGGTTATGTGAATTGTCTTTTGTTATATCTTGTTTGTCGATGTGTTGGAGAAGCTGGTGCTTTAGATTTCTTTGTTTCTTTGCCGGTTAGACAACTGCTGCATGTTTCCTTTTTCCCTTTATGAATTTAATTTATTATTCAAAATTCTTGGGAACAGCTTTTCTTCCATCTATTTATGATCGGTTTAAACTTTTGCTGATCTGACTAATCTTTCAGCAAGCTGCGCTTGTCCTTAATGCTTCTCGTCGATTTCGATATACCTTGGACTTAAAAAAGGAAGAAGAAAGAAAGCAATTGATTGCTAAAATAAGAACCCATGCCCAAGTTATTCGGGTAAATATTACTCTCCAATATTCATGTTACCCTTCAGTGCTTTAAATGGAAGTAAATATTGTCAGTTCCTTTTTTCTTTGCAATGAATCAGGCAGCTGTTCTTTTTCAAGAAGCGGGGCGAACAGTCAATGGTAAACACTTCCTGATGCTACTTTAAGTCATCGAGTGAAATCTATGTTGTGACAGCTCTGACTGTTTAGCTTCAACTAAATTTGTCCGTATCTAATTACCGGAATGCTGATGTATGTCGGGAAAAGCGGGTAGTAAAAAATATGTCTCATGGTTGTTATACTAATATTAAGAAATAGGTTAAAATATGCTTGTTGGCGCAAACCAAGAATACAGAAGCAGAGTTAATTACTGATAGATAATTGTTGCTGCAAAGAATTTATGACAGAAGGAAAACGTGGTAATCGAATTAAGTAGGACTTTCTTCCATAGTTACTCTCTTACTGCAATTGCTACATCTTTGCTGATATTTTATGCCAAAAGAATCAGTGACTTTGTTTTGTAGTTGAAGGTGAGTAATACCATTGGGCTGTTTCGCTATAGTTTTGAAAGATTTGCTATAGGTGCACCTTTGAGGCAGCATCTTCTAGTCGTGTTTTCAAATAGTAGATTTTTCTGTTTGTCACATGTTTTGGCAGAATACTATTTATCTTACGCGTTTCTTATTTTAGGGGATGGGGCTCTTAAGACGTTGCCTCCAACTACTACCTCCCTTGGCGAGTTTGATATCGGCCAAGAGGAGCTGTCGTATATGTCTAGAGAGCACGACGTCCCTGCTTTGCAGCGATGTGGAGGGGCAAGTTCACCTTCAAAATCTATAATTTTTTTCTTTGAGTCATACGAGTGCTGGATGAAGTAATAGTCTTCTCTATTTCTGTTATGAAATGTTGTAACATCAGGTTAAAGGGGTGTCAGAGAAGTTGAAAACAAATTTAGATAAAGGAATTGATGGAGATGAAGTAGATCTGCTGAAACGGAAGAATGCATATGGATCCAACACATATCCTCGGAAGAAAGGGAGGAGTTTCTGGGTATGTGTTACAGTTATTGCATCATTTAATGCCGTGATTTATTGTTGAGAATCATTATCACATTATTTATCATCAAACATAGTTACCCTTTTCTTGTGTTCTCCACTGTAGAGGTTTGTCTGGGAAGCTTGCTGTGATACAACCCTGATTATTTTGATGGTAGCCGCAGCTGCATCATTGGCGCTGGGCATAAAGACTGAGGTGGGCCGAGACACATAATAATTTATGTTCCTGATTTTAGATATAAATCCTGCACTGGGAAATATTTATTGAAATTTCAGTAGAAAGAATCTCTGTTTCTCTTTATTGATATTGAGTGGAGATATAATTTGAAGATTTACACAACTGCGGCCGGGGGTGAGTGGTTATAGATTTGTAGATCTTGAAAAACACATTTGTGTTAGTAAAATCTTTTACGTTCTTAACTATAAAAAAAGCTCTTATGTTCCTTTTCTTTTATGGGAATTGCACATATGATATAGAGAACAATGCATATATGATATAGAGAACAATGCACCAATATCCATCAATTTGTGTCCATGAACATCTTTATTCTTTTCCTTTTTTCATCTATTATTTGGCATGTAATGTCTAACTTTTCCACTATGTTTTGTCTTCAAACAAGTAATTTAATATCTGTCTTGTGAGTTTCTTCTCTGCTCTAACTAAGCTTGCTCTGTAGGGTATAAAAGAAGGATGGTACGATGGAGGAAGCATTGCTTTGGCAGTGATTATTGTCATAGTTGTGACAGGTACAAGGATTTACATAGAAATTTTATTTCAGTAGAGGTCTAGATGTTAAACTTGTGTTTAATTTGGTTGATATGAAAAATGTGCAATGTCAAATCAACTCTTAACACTGGATAATTTATCAAAAACATGGTCGGATTGGTCTTTATTGCTTAAGTTGATATTCTTCGAATTCCATATCAAACTTCAGAACTACAAACTTAGTTGAAATTTGATTTAGAAAGGGAAAGACTGAGAGACTGATTAGGTTAGTTGATATTTAATTCAGGATGGTATAGACTGAGGCTGATTGATGACCATACTGATAATCGTAGTTTGATATATATGACAATCATACATGGAGGATTTTTGCATAGTAGTAGTCCAATTTGGAGTCATTTGCTATGCCAGATGGGATATGGCGAGATCATTATTTTGTGCCTTATACTAGAGATAATTTATAACAAACTTAAGACTCGAGCTCTAAATGAACATCTCCTGCACTGGGGTAAACATTTCATGAATAATTCAATTTCTCCCTCCAAGTTCCTCATCGGCGAATTGATTTTTATTAGCAACCAATGCTTCTACAACTTAACAGTTCCAGTATCACTTCTTATTTACATTTTTTTCTTGAGGTATAACTGTCCATTTTGCAAGCAACTTGTAGCATAAAAAGACAACTCCATGTTCTGTGCCAATACTGAAATACCAAAAGCATTATCACATAATTTTGTTATAAGGATGCAGATGTTGTCAAGTCTGTGATTCTTCGTCTAGTTAGACGAGTAAACCCAGCATATGAGTTGGAAAAGAAACTGTGAAAGGAAAAGGAGTTCAGAGCAGAAAATCTTGTGTGTTCTTGATTAGTAGTTTCAATTACAACAATAGCATAAACAGCTGATTAAAAAGGCATCTAAAGTCTAACATGCCTTTACTTGTCTATATTTATTTTCCCAAATTTGACGTTGATCTAAGCCATTGCATAGAAACTTTTTAGCCTCTGGATTATATCTGACTAATGAATAAAGCCTTAGTTTTAAAGTTCATTTTCTTGCTCTCCTGTTTGTAACTGGACATTTCTACTGTATGCATTTGCAGCTGTTAGTGACTATAAGCAATCACTTCAGTTCCAAAATCTTAATGAAGAGAAGCAGAACATACAAATTGAGGTTTGTCTTCTACTCTTTCCTGGTGTATTGCTTGTGACAGTCTCCTGTTTTCTGTCCTTCCCTTTTGTTTTCTTCAAATATTCTTAGGGTACTTTGTACAGGTTGTTAGAGGTGGGCGGAGAATTCCCGTTTCAATATTTGATGTAGTTGTTGGTGATGTTGTGCCTCTGAAAATTGGTGACCAGGTCAGTTTCTTTTTCTTCCCTTTTTTGATGTTGTAACTATGATAAATCTTTCTATGAATTTATTTTTCTACATTGATTGCAGGTACCTGCTGATGGAATATTAATCTCGGGTCACTCTCTCGCGATTGATGAATCAAGCATGACAGGAGAGAGCAAGATTGTGAGTGTTTCTAGTAATCTCTTAGGTTATACTGCTGTTCCCTTTTTAACTGGTATTAATTTGTTACCCAGGTTCACAAGGATTCAAAATCACCTTTCCTTATGTCTGGATGCAAAGTAGCCGATGGCTATGGAACGATGCTGGTAGGCTCTTTTTCTGTATGACGTCAGTGTGTTGAAGGGACTACTTTGGTCATTTCCTGTTAAACTTTAATTTCTAATATTCAAATGGCTTTAGATATCCCTAATTTGTTGCAAAGACATTATTATGGGCCTGGATAGAGTGGAATGCTTACAAGGAATTCATATGATCAACTCCAACTTTGTTTGATATTGAGGCATGCTCGATTGATTGATCAAAAGATTTTAAACACATCAGTGTTCATTTTCAGGTGATAGGCGTTGGAATAAACACAGAATGGGGATTGTTGATGGCAAGCATTACGGAGGATAATGGAGAGGAAACACCATTGCAGGTTATTTGGGTGTAAAATGTTATGACCGCGCTGAAGGATCAACATTCACTGCTTAATTTTTTTTTATAATTCATTTTAGGTCCGTCTGAATGGGGTGGCAACCTTCATTGGTGTAGTTGGTCTCACTGTAGCTTTAGCTGTTCTGATTGTCCTTATGATCAGGTAGTGCTGGAATTCAATTGACGCTCTTATCGCTTGCCTCTACTGTTCCAAGAGTCTTAAGTTTGAGATTTTATGAACAGATTCTTTACTGGGCATAGTTATAACCCAGACGGCACTGTTCAATTCAAAGCTGGGAAAACAAGGGTTGGCAAGGCTGTAGATGGCGCTATAAAGATCTTCACTGTTGCTGTATGTGCTCTTTTTAATGACCTTTATGTTCTTTAATTGTTCGTCATCTGAAATCAGCGAACCTGTGGAAAATGTAGGTTACTATTGTGGTTGTGGCAGTGCCAGAAGGACTTCCTTTGGCAGTTACCCTAACGTAAGTATGGTCCTTCAGTTTTTGCTTCTCTTTTAGATGCCTTGGTTGTTAAGCTCAAATCTGAGTGTGGTTGTGAAGGTAGATCTCCAAGTGATTAATTATTTTGGTCCTTGTGTTCTTCATCAACTTTGGAGAATTTACTATTTGTCTTTGCAATAATATATTCCTCTGTTTCCACAGCTGGTTTGAAGTAGTCTGACTTGTGGTCAACTGTAATCTTGCAGGCTTGCCTATTCAATGAGGAAAATGATGGCAGATAAGGCTTTGGTAGGAGCATTAATCTTTCTCTGAATTCTTTTCTTAAGATATTCTCTGGGTTCTAAACAGCATTTAACTGCAGGTGAGAAGGCTTTCTGCTTGTGAAACTATGGGCTCTGCAACTACAATTTGCAGTGATAAAACTGGAACCTTGACTTTGAATCAGGTGGAATTTTTTTTTAAAACCTCTTGTACTTTTTCCCCACTTTCTCTTCCTTTCTTTTTTTGGTTCCATTTTCCCGTTCCTGGTTGTGACTGGGTTTAGCGCTGATGTTGTGTATGAAGAGCCAATTTATACTGTATACAGCTTTGCTTTACAATCTGCCAAGCTTCAATTCTATTTTAATTTTTCCTTTGTAGATGACTGTGGTTGAGGCATTTGTCAGCGGTAAAAAGATTAATCCACCTGATGATAGATCTGCAGTGCCTCCAACTGTGTTGTCTCTACTCTATGAAGGAGTGGGACTGAATACCACTGGAAGCATTTTTGTTCCACAGGTAAGTTAATAAAGAATTGTCAGCTCTGTTGAGAGCCTAGACGTGATTTCTCTCCTTTGCCTTCAGATGTTAATTTAATTCGGGTAACAAAATGTTAGTGTCTATATTGCATTGTCTTTGGATATTCCAGAATGCGTAATTCTATAGTATTATTTCATAATATTTTCATATGTTTCAAGTATCAAAGGCATTATATATTGATTTAGATTTTGATGTAATGCTTTTTCCATCATATGAGCCAACCCCAACTTGTTTGGGACTGAGGTGTAGTTTTTTTCGCTTTTTCCATCATATTAACTTTTCAACTGTTACAAAGTATTCTCTTTCACTACTAATTGATACTTGCACCAGTCAGGCTATATATGTTGGGCTACAGATCACGTCAAATGGACGACGGAGGAATCATTTCCTCGGTTATGGTGTAAACAAGTGGGTCTTAAGTTAATGATCTGAAGCTGAATCTACTAAAATGAGAGAGAGTGGACTGTGCTTTTATTTCTTAGGTTGTGGCGTAACATTAGCTGCTCCCAGCTGATAGTCTCAATCAGTGTTTGTATTGTTTCCAAATGGGTGTTTATTTATTTGTCCTTTGAATAAATGGAACACTTTTGGTAAAGTAAAATCAAGTTACACTAACACCTGACTTGTAGGTCTAGATTATGAATAGAGAGGAGTTCTTGAATCTTGATTGCACTTATGCTTAACAATATGCTGCGGACATATTCTATAGAAGTTTGAGGAACTTTTGATGTTCAGTATTCTGATTACTCCGAATGGTGTGAATCTGTTGTTCCATATATACTAGTTTAGAAACTGTATTCCTCGCTTATATTTATAATTTTCTACGTTTTAATATGGTAGTTGAAATTTTTGAGCTGTATGTTGCCCTTGTGGTCTGCTAGAAAGATGGCGAGTTTTGACATGAACGAGTAGCCTCGATATCTAGTGTTTCAATTAATGAAAGCTTACTTAAGTTGACATGGATCTACAGTGCTGGTGCACTCTAGGCTTTTTGAATATTAAGAGGAGAATGAACTGCAGGATGAATAGCAATTATAAAATGGTTGTATAAAGTGGTGGATTTGTCAGCAAAAAATCCTCTGAGTGGTGAGATACTGCTTGATATGTCCAGCAACATGGGCCCCTTGGGTCCATGCTAATGATTTATGTACAAATTTTCTGGTTATCAAAGAAAGCAACATATATTGTTTAAGAATACTCTCTAACTAAACAATTGCTGAAGCACCTTCTCTGCCACTGTGGAGTCCTTTGACTCTTTATGGTGTGACTTCGTGTTATCAGTTATGAGTGGTCTTACCGCTTTTGCTTTATCATTTTGTGGGGATTACCTTTATGCATCTAGATAGAGAATATACTGCAATTGAAGATCACGTGCTTGCTCATTTTCTGATAGGGTGGTGGTGCTGCTGAGATTTCTGGATCGCCGACAGAGAAAGCTATTCTCCAATGGGGTGTCAATGTAATTATGCTTGCTTTATGCTTATAGTAATTGATGTCAAAATTCTCTTAAGTAAACTGTTTCTTTCTTCTACAGCTAGGGATGAATTTTGATGCAGTACAATCAGAAGCATCCATTATTCATGCTTTCCCATTCAACTCAGAGAAAAAAAGAGGTGGCGTTGCTGTGAAGCTGGTAATGCAATGCTCAATTCTGAAACTTCTTTTCTTATCATATAATATGACTGGTTTTTAGTGTTAAACCTTTGTTACTCTACTTGAGGACTTTACAGGAAAATCAAATTAATATAAAAACCGACATACGATTCCCATTTCATCATTGTTATGAATAGTAGCCATATAGTGTAAAGGTTGTTTATTCATGTTGCTTTTATCATTCTGGCACTTTCACGGGTTTTTTTTTCTAGTTGATTAGCACAAAGACCAAAGATGCTTAGTTGATATTCAGAAAATCTGGTTCTTTTATTTGGTATCCAGATGATTCACAGAAAATTGCTTCTGTGTCCATCTCTTCTTACTTGTCGAAAGAACATGTCCATCTCTTCTTTAGGTGCCATAAGTTTTCCTCGTGATAGGGAAAAAGTGTTAAAGCTCTCTGGAAGGTTGGAAGTCGGTAATTTAGTTCTTACAGCTTTATGATCGTTGAGAAACCACCTTTTTAAATTGGTTTTATATCCAAACAATGCCTTAGGCGTTACCAATACTGTGTTTCTTGATTAGAGATGTATTGATGCTGGATGTGTGGTTTGGTGTTTTGCAGCATGATTCTGAGGTTCACTTGCACTGGAAAGGGGCTGCTGAGATTGTTCTGTCTTGTTGTACAAGTTTCATTGATGAGAATGGGTCGGTGGTTCCTCTGGGTGATGATAAGGTTTGTGTGAATGTTGGTCTTATCAAGCAGTTGATCCGTTGAAGAGACTAAAAATTATTTATTCACTAGCAACTTTAACCTGATTTAAAAAGTGCACTATGTTTTCTTCTTTTTGAGGAATATCGGTCAGTTATCACTCCGAGTATTTGTACTGTGAACCATTGAATTTGAATTGGGCACTTCAAAAGATAAGAACAACCCTAAGTTGAATGGTGTGTTCCTTGAAAAGTTACAATTGACCCAGAAAAGATTTATCATTATTCTATAAATTTTCAGTTATCAATTCTATGCGCTGCTGCATAAGGTATAGCATAATTCTACTGACCCGAAAATGATTTAGCATTATTCTATAAATTTTCAGCTTTAATTCTGAGTATTTGTGGTCCACAGGTGTCACATTTCAAGCAATCCATCAATGACATGGCAGCATCAAGTTTGCGATGCGTTGCTATTGCCTACAGACAATATGATGTCGAGAAAGTTCCCAACGAAGAAGAAGTAGAGCAATGGCAAATACCTGAGGGTGATCTGGTATTACTTGCCATTGTTGGCATTAAGGTACTTTGCAAAACCCTTTAAACCTGTTTTTTTTTTGTTTTTGTTTTTATAGGACATTTCTCTCTTCTATGCGCCAAGGGTAACTTTTCTGCAGCAGACTGAAGAAAATGTTAAAGAACTCCAAGTTATTCAATTATTCTGCTAGTCTGTTTAAAGGGTGTAAATTTGCATGTCAAATCAAAACTAAGCTGAGATCTTTATGGGGTACTCTTGAATTGATCCTTTTCTGTACTGTTTTTGGGCTTGGCTGACCGAAAGTGCGGCTCGTGCTCACACAAAGGAGATGATTCAGCAACTTGAGATTGTGTGCCGTAGGCTTACCTAGGGCGGGCAAATAAGTGACTTTGGAAGCTGACTACCAAGATAATTTTCAAGTTTGCTTTATTTAACCTGATAACGCTTTTTAATTGAAACCCATAAATAGTACGTCTATGAAAGCAAATTCCCAAGCTTGAGGTTGGAGATGATATATCGCCTTGTCGACATTAATTCCATGAGATCTTCAAAATAAAGTTAGGTTTTCCAGCTGGAAAGCAGCAGTAAGAGAGTGGAAGGTAGTCAGTCTTCGGGCACTGAAACTTATAGCGGAGATGCTATGGAGCAACAGTGGTGAAGAACAGGGTGAAAAAGATTTAAGCAGCGAAGCAAAATCAATCTGGCGGGGAACCAAAACCACGGAGAGGTTGAATGGTTAACATGCTGCTGTGACTTGGAGAAGAAGTAGTGATGGTGGCTAGGAAGTTGGAGAATGGATGGAGAGATAAGAGTGATGGTTAGGGCCACTGGCCAAGGACTAGGCTTTCCTCCTCAAATATTTTTAATTGCAGAAATGATGACTTACATCTTTCTCAATGAAAACAACAACAACTACAAACAACAACAAACCCAGTGTAATCCCACATGTGGAGTCGGGGGTATAATTATACGAGAAATAGGAAGAAAAGCTAGCTTGACGTTTGAATTTTGATGAGTCTTTGACTGAGCTCAACCTTGAAAAAAAGTATAAGCCGAGCCCGGCTTCAACTCTATCTTTAACCCTGGATAATTTAAGGAGCTGGGTGCTAAGTTTTAAACTTACTGTGCACTCTCATAGCCTGTTCTGCAGTTACAATTCATTTCACTTTCTCTTTTCTCTACATACCCTTTCCATTTTAAGCATATATAATGCAGAAGTATCGTATAATTTGCTGTTATCACATGTAATTAATTCTTCACATGTATCTTATAGGATCCATGCCGACCAGGTGTAAGAGATGCAGTTCAGTTATGTAGTGATGCTGGAGTGAAGGTAATTTGGAAGAATGCATTTGCATTTGGTTCTTTGGAACACAACGTTGTATTGAGTGTAATCCTGCCTTAATTCTTATTATTTGTTTTTTCATATGTGTTATTAGCTCAATGATGGTCGCATCTCTGTTTTACCATAAATTTGAAGGAAAAAGCCTTTGCTTACTGGACCTCAGATTACATAGTTATGAACACATATGTTTCAGTGTTTGTGCTTTTGCCTTTCTGGTTTAGTATTATCCTATTTGCCTATTTTTTAGTTAAGTCTTTGCTTCTGTATATATCTGTATTTTATTTTCTATTAATTGTCCTGTTTGTGTTTGTCAATGGCATTTTGCTCAAGCATGTCAGATTGTCAGTTTTCATACAGTTTATCCAACTGAAGGTACTTGTGTCATTAATATATTAAATACTTGGTTTCTGGTCATAAGGAAACAATGCGGAGAGTTGTAAACTCCACGGATGATTGGCAGTTCTTGGTAGGAAGTCTGTGATACTTGTCTTTTTTAATGCATATACCAATATTCTTTTTGGTTTGATCGTAATTGTGGGTTTGAATGAACAGTACGATGCCTGAACAACAAAAAATTGAGCCTAATTGGTATCTATGTTGCGCGGACTCTCCAAAATGTTGCCGCACCCGTGTCGGATTCTCCAAAAACACACTAGTTTCGGAGTATCCGACACGCACCCGCCGACATTTTCGGAGAGTCTGAGCAACGTAGATTGGTATACTTTCTTAGACATCGTTTCTGATTCATGGAACTCTCAAACAGATTAGGCAGATCAGCTGCTTGTTAATCTGTGTTAGTTCTCAACTTTTGTGACCAGCTAGACTGTTCTGTGAATGTACTAGTGAATGTTTTCCTTGACAAGCTGTGTTCCTCTTGCGTGCTTGGTGAAGTCTTAAATGGTTGATGCATCTCTGAAAAACTTTGTAGTGTGCAATACATGTTATGACTGTATTAGGCTGTAACATTATATGATTTCTTTTGTTCATATTGTATGCTATACCTTTCATGTGTGAACTTAGGAAGTCCCAGCATGGGGAGCTTTGTTATACACTCATACTGTAGGATGTCCCCTACTATAGGATATACTGTTGTGCAAGTGGTTGTTGCTTCCAATCCTTTTTGAAATATTTTAGCTGCCCTGCTGCCTTTCAATATATGTAAAAGCATAAATCTGTTGTCCCTCAAATTCACAGGTAAGAATGGTCACTGGTGACAACTTACAAACAGCAAAAGCAATAGCTTTGGAATGTGGGATTCTTAAGTCTGATGCTGATGCAACTGAACCAAACCTGATTGAAGGGAAGAGGTTTAGAGCTTTATCGGAGGAAGATAGAAAGGAAGTGGCAGAGAAAATATCGGTATGGAATGAAACTAGACTATTCCTAGTCGTTCAACAAGGTTTTTCCTCACTTTTAAATTCACATCATGTCCAGGTTATGGGAAGATCTTCTCCTAATGATAAGCTCTTGCTTGTTCAAGCACTAAGGAGTAAGGGCCATGTTGTAGCTGTAACTGGCGATGGCACTAATGATGCTCCTGCACTACATGAGGTGCTCTTCTTGGCTGGTTAAGAATGTAGTTATCTGATATGATTCTAGAAAGCATGAGGTCTGCTAGGTGCATGTTAGCTATGTATTCTCTTGTTGAATTGTTTTGTCCTGTTCACTGTGTTGCTATGTGGTTGCTTGCTGAACCATTGAGAAATGAAGTCTTCTCTCTTGCGTTCTACTCTTTTATTTGCTGGTTAAACTTTCTTGTTTGCTCTCTGTTTTTCTTTCATGGGGTAGCAGGTGCTACCTTCACAACGAACCGCTATATTTTGCTAATAAAATTTGCTCTCCTGCTGCCTTGTAGGCCGATATTGGTCTTGCTATGGGCATTCAAGGAACAGAAGTTGCCAAAGAAAGTTCAGATATCATCATCCTGGATGACAATTTTGCTTCTGTTGTGAAGGTCAGTTTATCATGCTGCCAGCTTTAGCAGGAAGTTCTCAGACTCTTATTATCTTAGTAAAGCCAAACTTGTCTTGCATGCTTGACTTATGGAACATGAGCAATCTTTTTCTAATTTTATTGCCTTGAAGATCTCCCAACAGTCGTGTTTATTTATTTTGGAACCTAAAAGAAGGTGCTTAGTATTACTTTTTAATGGTGGGGAATGAACTTTCCTGCTGGGAATTTTGAATCTTCTGGAATGACTGAAATACTTGGGATAGGCTCTTACTTTCTGAAAAGTTCTTTATTGCTAACAAGTTCCTATCTCAGAATGCAAGTTTTCTGTACATGTTTAAATTGCCTTCAGCAGTTCAGAAGTCGGATCTATTTTACCTGATATATTTTGCAAACCCATTAGTATCTTTTCTACTTGCAGTGATTGAAGTTCTAAGGTTTTTCAGACCGGTGCATGGCAATACTTATTTCTATTGATTTTTTATCCCATGAAATACAGGTTGTCCGATGGGGCAGATCCGTATATGCTAACATCCAGAAATTCATCCAGTTTCAGCTAACTGTTAACGTTGCTGCTCTTATTATTAATGTTGTTGCTGCAGTTTCTGCTGGTGATGTCCCATTGAATGCTGTTCAGGTTTAGTTTCTCTGCTCTCTTATCATTGATCAGTGTGATTAGCGGATGTACACTTTGTGTGTTCGACCTCTATGTTCTGATGTTAATCATTTAGGTTTTGCCATTCACCTGTGCAGCTACTTTGGGTAAATCTTATTATGGACACCTTGGGTGCGCTTGCACTGGCCACAGAACCACCAACTGATCATCTAATGCGCCGAGCTCCTGTTGGTCGAAGGTTAGTTTGTAGATCAATCTCTGAAAAAAAGAAGCTTGTTTCAACATTTTAATGGCAAAGATATTGTTTGTTTCGTCAAGGAACATTAGCTTGGCTGCACTACCATTTCTGCATATTTGTAGTTTGACAGATGGGGTTGGCTTTTAGTGATAGCTAATCCATCATGTGGCTGTGCAGTTGATTTCTTATAAGGAAATATTATTGATCTGTTAGATTTTTTTTCTTTCATGTCATTTTGCAAGTGAACTTGTTTTGAAGCCGTGAGATACTTTTATAAAACACCTACCCCTACGATGTGCTGAAACCACCTGCAGGAAAACCAACTTTTCCGCACATTATTCTTTCAGTTGGTTTTAACATTCTCATTACATTCTTAACGTTAATGTGATTATACTGTAAGCTGGATTCTATTCGTTTCCGACTCTTTCCACCTATGTTACTAGATTATAGAGACTTCTATATTGCCTCAATATCTTCTGCCATTCATTTTCATGCTTCGGTACTGATGTGCATCCTACTTGTATTAATAACATTTAGTGGTGGAATATGTTCTGTTGCAGCTCTAGCCAATGATTCCCCAAATGTATCAACTTATTTCAGCTTCTTTCTGTATTACTAACCTATGTCCTCATAGTTATAATGTTTCTCGTGCGCAGCATCAATTGATTGTTTGTTTAATTCTATCTTAGGGAACCTCTCGTCACCAATATAATGTGGAGAAACCTATTAATACAGGTAAAAAGAATTTGATGGCTGATGTTCCAAAGTGAGAAATATTCATTTTTACATTAGTTTTTGAGGTTGATATCTCCTGCTTGAACATCTGCAGGCTCTGTATCAAGTTACAGTTCTCCTAATCCTCAATTTCCGAGGTGAACAAATTCTGCATTTGGAGCATGAGACGAGGGAGCATGCTGTTAAAGTGAAGAATACCTTGATTTTCAATGCTTTTGTCCTGTGTCAGGTAAGAATAGCTGATAAAGAAACATGCTATGATTGGCTTTTGCACTCCCCATAGTATATTTTTCCTTTCTTACATAAGAAAGATATCTCGTTTGTACCTGAACTCAAGCACTTCCTCTTCCCTAGGAATTTTGTCTTAGTTACATTTTTGGATTGTAGAAGTTGTCCACTTCCCTTGAATCAGCAGGTCTAATACGTTTAATATCATAAAAATTTTAGCCGCCTCGTTCTCCACCTTGTTATTTTTCCTTTATTGGCCATAAAAAAAGTCAAAGCATCCATGTGTTTTCTCAACTAGTATTAAACAATTCATAGTTTCAAATCTTCCCTTAAGCGTGCCAGGTCAAGGGTGGACAACCCAATTCGGATGGAGGTGGTAGTAATCTCTGCAATCTTTTAGAATCTTGGTTGTGTTTTTGGAAATGATTCTCAAATTAAATATGAGGCAGCTTTTTCTCTTGACCTCCTTCAATTTCCCTGTGTTCCTAACCTTTTCCTCATTTTTGGTTTTGTTCGGGCGATGGGGGCAAAAAGTCTGAAACTGAAATTTCATACTGCTGTTTGCAATGAGCCACATTAGCTTTATATATTTGCCTGTCTACTGAGACTAAATCGCTGAATCCACTGCTAACGACTCGAAACCGCAGGTTTTCAATGAATTCAATGCTCAGAACCCAGATGATATAAATGTATTCAGAGGAGTCCACAAAACCGTCTGTTGAGCTTTTAAATGTTCGGGCTTTTGTCCTTGAAGTAGTTTTAAATTTGAGTTGTTGCTCCGTTTTTGGATTGAGACACTTACGGGGAATGTAAGAATGCTCTTTTCTTGATTATTCCATATCGAAATTTCTTTTGAATTTGAGACAGATTTCTTTCCTAGAGCCTACATCAAGGAAGATGAAAGAATGTAGGATTTGCCATGATACTGATGAAGATTCAAACATGGAGATTTCCTGCTCTTGCCGTGGAACCCTCAAGGTTTATTAAGCTAACTGTTTTACTCATTTGAAGCCCATGGATGCAGAGCAACAGAGAGAGTATGGTCACAAGATGGTGAATTTCATAGTTGATTATTACAGGAACAATGAGAACTCACTGTTCTCAGTCAAGTTCAGGTTTTCACAACAACCTATCAATTTCTTTTTGTATCCTTACCATGCTCTTGCCAAGAATTAGTTGCCCGTAGAAAGTTTAGCCCTTGCATGACAGTGTTATTTTGGTAGAGTTTGTGGAGACTTAGCTAGAAAAAAGTACTAAATTAGTAAAGCTCAATCTTTTAATGGATACATTTTTACTATCCTAGCTGGTTGGTGATCATATCATACATCAGTGCTCATGATAAAAATTTATTTAATTCCATGAGGATTTGAATTTGTAATATTTGTCACTATGGTTAATTTTTTATGAAATTGTATTTATGTTGTAAATTGCCACTATTTTTTAAAAAAAAACACTAATATTATATTATAGCGGTTATAAACCCCGCATAATTTAAAAAAAAAATATTTGAATCATATTTTGGGGGTTTATAAACCCCCACAATATCTTTTTTGAGTCATTATGGTCATATTGAGGGGGTTTATAAACCCTCGCAGTATTTTTTTTTGACACATCAAAATCATATTGCGGGGGTTTTAAACTAGCATAATTATCTTTCAAAACCCCTTCATAACTTTTTCTTAAAAAAAATTTTAATCATATTTTAGGGGTTTTTAAACCCCCACAATAACTTTTTTGAACCATTATGATCATATAGAGGGGGGGTTTATAAACCCTTGCAATATTTTTTCTTTGGCACATTGAAATCATATTCNATCTTCTGCCATTCATTTTCATGCTTCGGTACTGATGTGCATCCTACTTGTATTAATAACATTTAGTGGTGGAATATGTTCTGTTGCAGCTCTAGCCAATGATTCCCCAAATGTATCAACTTATTTCAGCTTCTTTCTGTATTACTAACCTATGTCCTCATAGTTATAATGTTTCTCGTGCGCAGCATCAATTGATTGTTTGTTTAATTCTATCTTAGGGAACCTCTCGTCACCAATATAATGTGGAGAAACCTATTAATACAGGTAAAAAGAATTTGATGGCTGATGTTCCAAAGTGAGAAATATTCATTTTTACATTAGTTTTTGAGGTTGATATCTCCTGCTTGAACATCTGCAGGCTCTGTATCAAGTTACAGTTCTCCTAATCCTCAATTTCCGAGGTGAACAAATTCTGCATTTGGAGCATGAGACGAGGGAGCATGCTGTTAAAGTGAAGAATACCTTGATTTTCAATGCTTTTGTCCTGTGTCAGGTAAGAATAGCTGATAAAGAAACATGCTATGATTGGCTTTTGCACTCCCCATAGTATATTTTTCCTTTCTTACATAAGAAAGATATCTTGTTTGTACCTAGTGCGAACTCAAGCACTTCCTCTCCCCTAGGAATTTTGTCTTAGTTACATTTTTGGATTGTAGAAGTTGTCCACTTTCCTTGAACCAGCAGGTCTAATACGTTTAATACCATAAAATTTATAGCCGCCTCGCTTCTCCACCTTGTTTTTTTCCTTTATTGGCCATAAAAAAGTCAAAGCATCCATGTGTTTTCTCAACTAATATTAAACATTTCATAGTTTCAAATCTTCCCTTAATCGTGCCAGATCAAGGGTGGACAACCCAATTCGGATGGAGGCGGTAGTACTCTCTGCACTCTTTTAGGATCTTGGTTGTGTTTTTGGAAATGATTCTCAAATTAAATATGAGGCAGCTTTTTCTCTTGAGCTCCTTCAATTTACCTGTGTTCCTAACCTTTTCCTCATTTTTTGTTTTGTTGGGGCGATGGGGGCAAAAAGTCTGAAACTAAAATTTCATACTGCTGTTTGCAATGAGCCACATTAGCTTAGATATTTGCCTGTCTACTGAGATTTAATCGCTGAATCCACTGCTAATGACTCGAAACTGCAGGTTTTCAATGAATTCAATGCTCGGAAGCCAGATGAGATAAATGTATTCAGAGGAGTCCACAAAAACCGTCTGTTCATTTCAATTATCGGCTTCACATTGGTGCTTCAGGTATTTACCTCATCCCTATCCTTCTATTTGGCGTTGAACATCAACCTATCATATTAACAATATCTTTTTTTTTTCCTTAGGTTATCATAATATTCTTTCTTGGAAAGTTCGTTTCAACTGTGAGACTGAGTTGGCAGTTGTGGCTTGTTTCAATAGTCATTGGACTTATAAGGTTAGTCTGGTCTTATGAACTGTCATTAACTGATCAGGTAATTTTTCTGGTACTAAGCGAAGTTGGTTTTGCTCAACAGCTGGCCCCTTGCTGCTCTTGGGAAGTTGATACCTGTCCCTGAGAAGCCATTTGGGGAGTACTTTTCCAAGAAATTACCGAACCGAAGAAATCAACAAGAGTCTTCATAGACATTTATACATACACGAAATTAACTAACAAGTGTGTCTGCATTTTGTAAGGGTGGCGTTTCTTTTGCTACTGTACAGAAATTCGCCGCTAATATTTTACTAGTTGGGTCATTTTGTGAATGTAGTAGGACAGTATAAATATATATTTCTTGATTGCCTCTATAAATTCGGATGTAGTCGCCTCTGCAGCAGATTCGAATTTTGCTGGTATGTACTCCACTTATGTTCTCGGAGGTGAAAAAAAAAAGCCTTTTCTGCTGTTCATTTAACATGAATCTATCAGTTATACGAGGAATTGATTGCTTAGCAATTTGCTTTAGACGATAGACCCATCAACATTTGGCTCTGTATTCCAATTTAGCTTCAAGGTTGAACTTGATTATATCATTAATTGTAAGATAGCAATAGCAAGCACATCAGCAAGCACTTCTACGAGGATACAGGCCCCAAAATAGCATTACCCATATGTGATTTTTTCATCGTCTTTGACAGAGGATAGCTATTTATCCTCATTTCTTCATACTCTATGGATATTTAGAATTCGACTAAACCGACCAAACATATTGAACTGGGTTTTAGGTTTTTTTTAATAAAACCGTAGGTTTTTATATGGATTTATATTCATACCGATAATTAGTGTAGGTTTTTTAATTTTATGAAAATAAAACGAAAAAATATCGAATGGTACCGAATAAATTTATATGTGAATATATTTTAGATTAATTAAACATAATGAAACATTAAGTTTTGTCTTGGATCTTGGAATTATGAAAACAATTACAATCCAACAAGTAATTAAAACACAAAGGGTGTGTTTGGTATAACGGAAAATATTTTCCAAGAAAATATTTTCTTGGAAAATAAGTAGTAATCTTATTCTTTTTCCGGTGTTCGGTACGCAAATTATGGAAAATGACTTCTCAAAGAGTATTCATAAATCATTTAGATATAATAAACATGAAGGCATAAACTTTCAAACCAACAACCTTCCGAACCCACATTTTTCATAAACTTTCGAACCGCTAAACTTTCGAAGCCGCGGAATTTCTAACTCGTAAACTTTATAATTTCTAAACCTGTAAACTTCCAAACACATAAACCTCCGAACTCATAACTTTGAAACTTGTAAAATTTGAACCTTTAAACCGATAAATAAAAAAACTAAAACTAAAAAATATAGTTTTTTTACGGGGGGGGGGGGGGGGGGGGTATTGGGGATGGGTGATGCAGAAAAACGAAAAAATTGAAATTTGAAATTGCAATACAAAAATAAGGTTAAAAAAATAATAATTTTTGGCGGGAGGGGGGGTGGTAACGGAAAAACTGAAATTTCAAAAAAAAAAAATATTTTCCAAAACATTTAAGCCAACCAAACATGGGAAAATCGGAAAACATTTTTCGGAAAATATTTTCCTTCCTACCAAACACACTCAAAATCTTTTCCCAAACGTATTATGCTACTTCTATTGAAACCAAAATTATTTCCACCATATTCACTAGCAAGCTACAAGGTATTCTAGTGATTATGAGAAGTAAACTACAAAGTATTGAATATGTTTCCTTTCGTATGATTTAGATTTATCTTTTTGGATATTTAATCTTCTATAGAGTTTATCTTGAGTCCCAGCTTGGTTAATATCTGTTCACTCGTGTGATTTATATTTTCTTTATCTTTGCTTGATTTCTTTTATGCTATTGCAGAATAGTTGATTGATCTATGCGTTGGCTGTCTTTTTTTTTTTTTTTTTTAATTTATTTATTTAGTCATCACTCTTCAAACAGTAAAAAATGTCTAGAGAGTTTTGCTAAGTTGTATAAAAGTACGTATTTATTGCATTTTACTTTTACTAGTGACTTTTACATGACATTTAAAAAAATACCGAAAATTAATCGAACCGTACTCATATCGAAGAGAAACCGATATGATTGAATTGGTTTCGCAAAGTCTAATTTTTGTTATACATAATAAAAATAACCGAAAAATAGGTATGGTACAAATTTTATAAAATAACTGGCCGAGTTAGCAACTTGAACAAAGTTTGAGATTTTCCTATAAACAGTAGACCTAACACTACATGAAATATCATCATATTTGTGCATACATACGGGAAGTCCGTTGTATTTTAGTGATAACCTTTATGGAATTCTGAGACTTGGTAACAAAAAGTGATAACCTTTGCTCCGAATAGGGTTAGGAGCAAAGGCGCCTCAAAAAATCATTTAACATTATTTATGGAAACAACGAAACAGTAAGCCCAATTTTGTGTATTTCTGGTTCACATTTAAATCTTGGGTTGTCTACCAAGACCCTAGTGGTACTTGCGGCTTTTCTTTTTTCGATAGAGCAACTAAATTCGAATAAGATCCGTTATACCTTGTGATTTAGAACAATATTAAAGCCATACATGGTACAACGAACGCTGCAAATAATATAATTTTCTAGTACAGATAGTTGTTGCTACCGGCAGAAAACATTGAGGATAATTTTCTGGAAATCTCACATATAGTAAGCACAAAGAAATACATCAATTACAAAGATTTTCGTATAGAAGACAGTGAAAATGATGCATAGCTTTCTCGACTTGTGGTGCATACCGGCCAGAGCTGTATGCGGGTGATTCTAGGCCTCTTTGTACAGCTTCACATAATTTTATATCCTCCATCTGCAAATTGTAGTCAGCAAAATCAGAACCAACACTTGCGAGTGTGCACGCCAGTAACAAAGTTGATCGGAATATTTTGCATGTTTTTACTATACCTGCACTGTCTCACTATCTTGGAGACTCTGTGCGATAAAACTCTTGTCACCCTGTGAACAAATAAAGAATCAATTGCTGGAAGTAATAAATTGATCTTTAAGTAAGAAAACAAAGACTTGGACACACCATCATTTTGATTTATGATTCCTTTCCTTTTCTATCATGTAAAAGTACTCCTTACACCAGTAACATATGGAACACAATGAAGATACATATAAGAAAATAACTATATAGGAAGTCTCCATAAGGATTCACTTCAAGCTTTGATCTTAATTGGATATGTTAGAGATGTGTTTCTTTTTGGTTCAAATACCACGCCACCAACAGACGATCTTGGCTTCTCCTTACAATTGCAAAATCCACTTCATACTAACCTCTGAGCAGCCAAAACTCCTTCCCCTGGCTTCCTCCCCACCCCCCTCCCCCCGGTACCCAAAAAGATCATGAAGAGAAAATGGCATTTCAGTAGTGGAGGATCTTCAGGCTTAATAAAGGCATAAAAAGGGTAGCCCGGTGCACTAAGCTCCTGCTATACGCGGGGTTCCGAGAAGGGTCAGACCACAAGAGTCTATTGTATGCAGCCTTGCCCTGCATTTCTACAAGAAACTGTTTCCACGGCTCAAACCCGTGACCACCTGGTCGCACGGCAGCAACTTTACCAGTTACGCAAGGCTCCCCTTCACGCTTAATAAAGGCATAGCTAGACGTAAATGAACAAAAATCCTTACAGTTGAGCTATAGATAACCACACATTGATACGGAAAATGGCCTACAATGCAGTCTAAGATCCACCAAATTAGAAATTGTAACAGTTAGGCCTCCTAAAAGAAATTGGCCCCCAATCCAAAATCTAGCACATGATAGACTAAATCAGTCTTGTACCAGATGTCAAGTTTTGATCCCAAAAGGAAGGCATAACAGGAAATGTATTTCCTGATCATCTCCTTGATAGATAGCTTTTTCTCTCCTAACATCTAAATTTAACTTAGCAATTTCATGATTTAATCTTGTTGAGCACAACAATTTTATCACCACCAGTGTGAAAATTAACCAAGGAAGTTAAACAATTCAGTGCCTCCAGATTACTTAGGAGAGAACTGATGAAGAGCGGTGCGAGAGATGCATATAAAAATTAAAAACACGTTACGTAGAATGAATTTACATTTACCTTGAGAGATGCATCAAGAAAGTAGTCAAATATCACGAGACATTTCCGAGGTCCTTGAGGCAGTACGAGGTTCGTGTCCATCCAAGGACCATACCTATGCGCTCCATATATTAGTTTTAAAAGAATTACAAGTCATGAAAAAGTTGAAGCGAAACAAGCCAGTTAATCTATATATGAAGCACCAACCTGTTGATCATGAAGTTTGGATACACGAATGCATATAAAGCTTCTGATCCAAGTCGATCAAATTCTTGGCCCTTTTCTGCACTACCAGTTTCACATCGTTGGATGCTGACTTTCTCAAGTATCTGCTTCGTTATTAATAGTTACATGCAACAACAGCAGACATCCACTTAAATAGTAGCCATGGAAATTGGATTCAGAGGAAAATTAAGAATGAATACAACTCAAAGTTAGAAAATAGTGTTGAGCGTACCGTGGTAGAATACGAGTCAAGCGTCAGACCAGAAGCAAGACCTTTATGAGCATATGGTACATGATAACCGCCATCCAAGTAGTTGTCACAGAACACCTACAACAGAACACACTGGTAAATTAGGAAAGGACCGATTTATTATGGACCAATGAACTGATCTAACTCTAATGTTAGAACTGACCTTCCAGTTACACTCAATGGTGTATTCGCGTCTACATAAAAAACTTAATGAAGAATCGACTCCACCATCTGCCAAGATTTGGGATGAAGTACCCAGCCATTCGTTTCCAACCAAGTCAAAATCAGATTCTTGTTCAGACAAAACTCCATTTTCAAAATTGAGAAGTATGAACGGTCCCCATACAGCTACTTTCATTGGAACTAGTCCCATCTCCTATCCTTCATATAGAAAAACACAAAAGACCAAATCACCCCCACATTTAAGTTTGACCATTAATTGACAATGTGGTTATTTCAATATATATGTTTAATACGTTCACTTTGAAGTTCTTGATTCCTGTTATTCTAGTTGCCTTAAGAAGCGCTCCGTCCAATCCATATGTCCACCCCTGCAATAGGAAGAATTGTTAAATGAAATATATTGGATGGTACTCTTCCTCTGCTATGTTCAGAATAATATTATTGCATGCATGTACGAAGCTAATAGCTAAGTACATAACATAAACAAGAAAACATACTACATCGATCAGAAGCAACAACATACTTTTGAATTTAACTCGATACCATTGATCACAAACTAAAGGAGGAATAAACAAAAGAAACCAAAATGAAATAACAAAACCGTTTGAGTTTTCAACAATGATTCTACTTCATTCAGTTCATATATTGACCATGACACCTAATTTAAAAAAATCATAGAAGTTTCTGCTAATTAATATGACAAGGCAACAGTCAATGAACTCATATACTCTAATAATTAACTTTTGTAATAGGTTTTCCCCTGTAGTGCCTAATTTCAAATGCAAGCTTGATACACAAACGACCTGATTTAATAAATATTGCAAAGTCAGAAACTCCTAGTCTTGCTTGCTGAAATATTAAATGGTAAATGAACCCATCTATGCTGGTAATACAGGAACTTAGAATGTGTGCAAACAAACAGATATTTGCTTAAATGAACTCCTTTACTCTAATGGTTAGCACTAACTCAACATGTAATCACACTTGTAGGAACAAGAAGTGATGACGCGATCAAGAAAACACCAATGGTGAAGTGAGTCTTCAAATCATATTATGTATTGAGACAAGGAAAACTGAAAGCCGATCAAAAGTATCAAGAAAACTGAGCAATTAGAAACTTACATGGTATGGGCAAACAAAGCAAGTGTTTTTCCCACTTCCAGAGGCAAGAAGAGAGGCATGATGCCGGCACACATTGTGAAAAGCATGTATTTTTCCACCATCATCTCGACATACAACATACTCGACATTGCCCAATCTGTATTTCAACTATTAGCTACTCGAACAAAAAAGATAAGCATATAAGTTCATCTCAAGAATAACCAGACCGAGAGCTCGTTTTCTCTTGCATTTAGATGAAAGCTTTGGATATGAATCACTTGCAACTCACAAATATCAATGTTGTAATCTAATGAAACTTATGGAATAACAGTACCTCCCAGTGAAATATTGCCTAGGCTCTTTGATCTGTTCGGTGTACCCTGAAATTCGCAAAAGAATTGCAGCAAAAATTCACATTCGGAAAGCAGAATCACTTAATATTGTCTTACCAAGAATTGGTAAGCCATACTTGTACTAGATAAATAAACAAGAACCTGCATTACATACTCTTTTTACTGGTCAAGTAGTCAATACAATTACCAAAGCTTTGTTCACCATGATCAGGTTTTTACCGGTGCCTCTAGGCTATAGCATAGTATGCAAGTTGAGCTCGTATTGACCGTTGCAAGCTACACTTTGTGAACACCAATTATGCCTCAAAAAAGCTCCTCTAACAGTATTGGCAAATTACTTCAACAAAGTTCCACTGGAATCTTGTCTATTGCCACCACTAAAATACACTTATACATGAAACACACACACACACACACACACACACAAAGAGAGCTCTAAAACATCCAAGCTTTAGTCATAATAAAGGCAAAGATTAATATCAAAAAGTGAAAACAGCTGCCAAGATTGAGGGGTAATAAACTAATAACTGGTATCACTCCTCTGACCTCTCTCCCCAACAAAGTTTAAGACAATATAGCTAATAAATCCAATTACAAGCTACTAAATTTCTAAATTAAAGCAGACCAAAAATTAAAAAAAGGAACCAGGAAAATCCAGAGAAAGAATAAAAACAATCCAAAAGATTAATTTTTAAACAAAAATTCAACTATGATCGTCTTTTCTGGTTATTATTATAGTAGTATGGATAGTCAAAAAAGGTGGAAAGAAGTTATACCAACAGCTTGCCATCCTTTGAAGAAGACTTGATTGAGTTCATGATTATAAAAAGAAGGGTCAGTATACCAAGAACTGGGTGGAGTCACAGCTTCTTCAACAGGGATTTTGGGGTCAAATTCTTGATTATAATCATGGTGGTTTGAGTAATTAGTGTTAATTAGCGAAGATGAGACTTGAAATGAAGGATGATATATTCTGTGTTTTATAGGACAACTGAATATCTGAATCTTTAAAGGACAACATAATTTGGGTTTCTTGAACTGATGTTGTTGTCTGGAGAAGTGATTAAAGGAACTCAACTTCTGTAGCACTGCCATGGGATAGAAGAAGGAGACTATCACTTTATTTTCTTGCCTACTTTTGGGTATTTTTATGTTTGGGATTAGATTATTACTAGTATTATTTCTCTTTTTGGCCGGCCAAACAGTAACATGATTTAGCTCATTATTGCTTCCACCACTTCCATCCATGTTTCATCGTTTTTTATTTAGTGATTAAAAAATGGAGGAATTGTAATGAGATGATAATAATAAATGAATTGTTATGCAGTAATTAATAAGGAAATAAATTATTATAATACAAGATTTGATTATTCTAAGGGTAATTTTTGTTTTTAAATAATTTAATCTCCATATTACTACATATACATATTTTTATTCCATATTACACCCGTCCTTGGGTAGGAGGGGGGCGGCAGAAGGCGGGGCGAAGCAGGGGCAAGGGTGTAAGAGGAACAAGGGTGTCTTTAGGCTGAGAATTGGGTCTTGGAATATAGGAACTTTGACAGAGAAGTTCATAGAGCCGGCGAAGATTCTTTAGAAGAGGAAGGTCAATATAGTTGTGTCCTGGAGATTAGGTGGGTGGGGACTAAGGAACAGGACGTGGACGAGTTTAAACATTGGTATTCAGGAGGTGTGAGGGTAAAATAGAGTAGGTATCTTGGTGGACAGAGAACTGAGGGAGTTAGTGGCAAAGGTTAGACATGTGAATGATAGGCTGATGGTTGTTAAGATAGTTGTTGAAGGGCTTGCTTTAAACGTTATTAGCGCTTACGCACCTCAAGTGGGCTAGAATGAAGAGGTTAAAAGGCATTTTGTGAGAGTCTAGATGAGGTTGTGCATGATTTTCCGCCCTTCGAGAAGATATTCATAGGAGGGTATTTCAATGACCATACCGGGACGACTGTTGGGGGTTATGACGAGGTGCATGGAGGCTTCGATTTTAGGGAGAGAAGCGAAGGAGGGATTTCACTGTTGGATTTCACCACAACTTTTGATTTGGTGATAGAGAACTCTAGCTTTCAGAAGAGGGATGAGCATCTGGTTACCTTCCAAAGCACGGTGGCCAAGACCTAGATTGACTATCTATTTCTCGGAAAGAGTGATAGAAGTCTCTACACTGATTGCAAGGTTATCCTGAGTAAGAGCCTCATGACGCAGTATAAGCTCTTCGTGATGCACTTAAAGATCACGAGGAAGAGGAAAAAAAGGATTGTGTGGGGTCGATCGAAGATCAGGTGGGGAGTCTTGACTAAGGACAAAGCTCGGGGGTTGGGGGAGAAGTTGCTGGCTATGAGGCCTGGATGAGTAGTGGTGACACGAGTGGTGTGTGGGACATGCGGCAAACTTGTTGGGTTTTAAGCTATTAATGCTTAAACTGGGGTGAACGGGAAATGGAGGGAAAAATAAAATATTTGAGTAATATTTGAGTTTTCCTCCTTGATTGTCCCATATGGGAAGAGGAAAAGGTTTTTGATGGATATATAAGCAATTGCTCTTCTTCTAGCTCATAAAGAGTAGAGAAGAAGGCAAGCCTCGCGCCGTCGTCGTCGGCGTCGCTCACTCGCTCGGTTCGGCTTCGGATTCGGATTTGGTCAAATGATCGATTGATTAATTTTTGGATCAAATTTATTTGTTAATAGTAAATATGAACAGAAATTTTATTAAATATTTGGTTTAATAACAAAATATTAATATTAAAATAAATATTAATATTAAATCCAATTCAGTTATCCAATTTTTAGCTTTCTGTTTTTGTAACAGAAAATTAACTACCCTTCAATTTTCCCTCTTTATTGTTGAGTAAACAGCCATTTATGTTATGTCATTTATGCTATGGCCGTTTTGCATAAACTGTCATTGTGAAGAGTTGCACCTCTTCAGATTTCAGCCCAGCTTTGGCTATAAATACAAGTCTATTCTGCTCAGAATTTTCATACGATTTTCTGAGTTTCTCCTCCTTCTTCTGCATACTTTTAACATCAAACAAAGCAATAGTAAGTGTGATTTGCTACCGAACTTTGTGTTCGCTAAAACACTGGGGTTTGAAGTACCACTACACCAGTGTGTAATTCGTTCTAACCTGGGAGAAAATAATCCACAACCTTGGGTACTAGGAGGGGATTAAATTCCTTAAGGAAACACTGTGAATTCAGTGGGCTCGGATTAAAATTCTGTTTCTATTTATGTTAATTTATATTTTCCAGAATTATTTTACAAATACAGTTTACTAATAAGCTTAAGGAATTTAATATATATTTTCTGTATTTGTGTTATACTCACTGTTTCTGGAGAGTAAAAACCTTTGTGGTTTTGTACTCTATTGGAGATTAAAATCTACGTGATGTTAACGTTTGTGTCATTCTTTTACAGAAATGATGAATGACAACGGAAACCAAGTTGTTCCGATGGTAACTGCCAATGCCTCAACGAGCCGAACAACACCGACAGCATTGGCACCGGCGGAGAAACCCGGAAAATTTTCCGGGATTGATTTCAAGCGCTGGCAGCAAAAGATGTTCTTCTACTTGACTACTCTAAGTCTCCAGAAGTTCATCAAGGAAGATGTTCCTGTGCTGTTCGATGAAACTCCAGAGACTGAACGCTTTCTCGTGATTGAGGCGTGGAAGCATTCAGATTTTTCGTGCAAGAATTATATTCTAAGCGGGCTGGAGGATACTTTGTATAACGTCTACGGTGGCGTGGAAACGTCAAAAGAACTGTGGATTGCGCTTGAAAAGAAATACAAAACTGAAGATGCCGGGTTGAAGAAGTTCGTTGCTTCAAAGTTTTTGGACTACAAAATGGTACATAGCAAGTCTATTATTATCCAAGTCCAGGAATTGCAAGTGATTATTCACGATCTCCTTGCTGAAGGAATAAGTAGAATTAATACTAGTGTTGGTAGTATTAATTTTATTATGTTTACTAACAAAATTTTCATTGAAGGTCTTGTCATCAATGAGGCATTCCAAGTAGCAGCGATAATTGAGAAGTTGCCTCCGTTGTGGAAGGACTTCAAAAATTATTTGAAACACAAACGCAAGGAGATGTCCCTTGAAGATCTCATTGTTCGGTTGAGAATCGAAGAGAAAAATAAAGCTGCTGACAAGAGAGGCCGTGGAAACTCAACAATAATGGGAGCAAATATTGTTGAAGAGAACAAAAAGAGGAAGAAGGCTTCTGGACCGAAATACAACCCAAGCAAGAGGCGGATCAGTGGAAATTGCTACAACTGTGGAAAAGCCGGACACAAATCTACGGAATGTCGTGCTCCGAAGAAAGACAAGAAGAAGGGTCAAGCAAACATGGTTGAAAAGCATGATGATGTTGATGACTTGTGAGCCATGCTTTCCGAATGCAACTTGGTGGGCAATCCTAAAGAGTGGTGGATTGATTCTGGAGCCACTCGCCATGTTTGTGCTGTTAGAGAAGCTTTTGCTACTTATGCTCCTGTTGGACCCGATGAGACGCTTTCTATGGGGAAATGCTGCAAAGGCCAAGATTGAAGGATGTGGGAAGATATTTCTCAAAATGACTTCCGGCAAAGTGGTGACTTTGAACAATGTCCTTCATGTTCCCGAGATTAGGAAGAATTTAGTCTCTGCTGGACTTCTTGTTAAGAATGGTTTTAAATGTATTTTTGTTTCCGATAAGGTTGTAATAAGTAAGAACAAAGTGTTTGTAGGAAAGGGTTACCTCACTGAGGGCCTTTTCAAGCTGAATGTAATGGTTGTTGAAAATAATAATAAAATTTCAGCTTCGTCTTACTTACTTGAGTCAAATGAATTATGGCATATACGTTTGGGTCATGTTAATTATAAAACCTTGCGAAAAATAATTAATTTGGAAGTATTGCCTAAATTTGAATGCGACAAATCAAAATGTCAAATATGTATGGAATCTAAGTATGTTAAACATCCTTATAAGTCAGTTGAAAGGAATTCAGATCCTTTAGACTTAACTCACACAGATATTTGCGATATGAAGTCAATACCATCTCGCGGTGGAAAGAAGTATTTCATAACTTTTATTGACGATAGTACTCGATATTGCTATGTTTACTTACTTAATAGTAAAGATGAAGAAATAGACGCTTTCAAGCAATACAAAAATGAAGTTGAAACGCAACTTAATAAGAAAATCAAAATGATAAGAAGTGATAGGGGTGGTGAATATGAATCTCCTTTTGAACTAATATGTTTAGAATATGGAATTATTCATCAAACAACGGCCCCTTACACGCCCCAATCCAATGGGATTGTAGAAAGAAAGAATCGTTCATTAAAGGAGATGATGAACACATTATTGATAAGTTCTGGTTTGCCACAAAACTTGTGGGGGGAAGCCGTTCTTACGGCTAGCCGAATACTAAATCGAGTACCCCATAGCAAAACCCAATCCATTCCATATGAAAAATGGAAAGGAAGGAAGCCCAACTTGAATTATTTTAAAATGTGGGGGTGTTTGGCAAAAGTGCAAGTTCCTAAACCCAAAAGGGTAAAAATAGGACCGAAAACCGTTGAATGTGTTTTCATAGGATATGCGACCAATAGTAAAGCATATCGATTTCTGGTTCATAAATCAGAAAATCCGGACATTCATAATAATACGGTTATAGAATCAGATAATGCTGAGTTCTTTAAAAATATATATCCATATAAAAAGGAATGCGAGTCGATTGGTGAAGGATCTAAATGACCTCGGGAAGAAACAAAAGAAAGTACATTTAATCAGGAGGATCCAAGACGTAGTAAATGTCAAAGAACATCTACTTCATTTGGACCAGATTTTGTGACTTTCTTGTTGGAAAATGAGCCTCGAACATTTAAAGAAGCCATGTCTTCTTCGGAATTATTATTTTGAAAAGAGGCAGTCAATAGTGAAATAGAATCCATATTGAACAACCATACATGAGAATTAGTTGATCTTCCTCCTGGAAATAAACCTTTGGGTTCTAAATGGATCTTTAAGAGGAAAATGAAAGATGATGGCACTATTGATAAATTTAAGGCAAGACTTGTAGTCAAAGTGTATAGACAACGAGAAGGTCTTGACTACATTGATACATACTCTCCAGTTACAAGAATTACGTCCATACGGATGTTAGTAGC